CCTTCCTCTCGAGGTCGACATGGAGATGCGAGAAGGCTGAGGAGGGTGGCAGGTACAGGCACACGGGAACAAGGCGATGAGGGTCCTTCCTTCTGACCTCCCTTTTCGTATCCTGGACACTCCAGAGAGTCCTGCCTGACTCTGCTAGAGTGCTGCTGTGACCTCTGCTACCTGCTCTGCAGCCACAGATTGCTCCGATCCCTGGGCTGTGTTGACATTTGGGATTAGTTGTCTTGCTGCTTCACGAGTCACCCTAAACACAGTGGCTTAAAAGAGGGGTCACATGTATGGGTTCAAATGTTCAAACTCTCAAATGCTCCAAAGTCTGACACTTTTTGTGTGCTGACATAATGCCACGAATAAAAAAATTCCACACTGTAAAATTTTGTTTCATGCACAAAATTATTTAAAATATTGTATGACACTACCTTCAGGATATGTGTAATGTGTCTATGAAATGCAGATGAATTTCTTTTGGTTATGATGTATGCAATTTAAGTGTTAATATACCTCAATGAAATACATGCATGTTGGACATGGTGACACACAATCCCTGTAATCAGGAGGCTGAGACAGGGAGGCTGGACAGAAGGATCTCTGTGAGTTCAAAGCCAACCTGCACTGCACTATGTAAGACCCTGTCACACACAAAAAGAGGGAAATAAAAAGAAGAAAATACAAACACACCAACTACCTGAGCCACACACAGAGTGAAAAGGAAGCGAAGAGTTGACTGCAATCCTAGCCTCTTTTTTAGCTAAGATGAAACCGAGTCCAGAGGACAGTGACAGCGGTGGTGAGGCCCCAAGGCCTGCAGACCAGGTAGAGTTGTGATGCTTCTCGGCACCTGGGCGAACAGGCAAGCAGGTGCACCATGCGCGTGCTAAGGTCAGGCATCTTCTCCTTTTTCCTGCTTTATTAGTGCTCACCAGCAGCACGGTGTATCTGCATAGCTTTGTGAAGTTGATCCATACACACAACACATCTTAATTTCTTTTCTCCCCCTTTCTTTCTCCTTTCTCCCTCATGTTCTGACTTGGGTCACCTCCCCAGGATATCTGGTCAGAAATGTGCAACTGTTCCGAAATCTGAAAAAGTAAAAATTCTGGAACAGCCCATTGCCAAGCAGTTTGGATAAGAGACTCGTCCTGTGCTGCTTCTCATGGTTCTCATGGCCAGGCATTTGAACCAGCTGGGTTGACTTTGGTCTCTTGCGTTGCCATCAGGTGTGAGCTGGGGCTGCAGTTTCATCGGGAGGTTTGACGGTGCCAGCGGAGCCTCTGCCAGGTGGCCCCTGGGCTGTCAAGGGAGCCTGGCTGCAAGTCAGGGAGGCCTCACTGGCCTCCCACAAGCCTGCTCAGGTGCCTTCAGGGCGAGGCTCCCCGGGGAAAGCAGTGCACTTGTAGCTCTGTATGATCAGGCTGGGGCTGGCCTCAGACCTGCCATGAGTCACTCTGCAGTCCTCCTATCAGTGTGTGATGGTATGAGGACCCACGTTTGAGGCTTGTCGGGCACCACCTTGGATGCTGCCTGTTGTGTGCATACTCTAAGTCTCCAGCAAGCCTTGCAGGATGGAGACTCATTCTTAAGATTGCCTCTCTTCTGGGCAGCAGGAACAAAACAGTATATGTGTTTACACTAGTAGGATGGCAATTCTAGTGCCTTTGGGAGACATGGAGAAAAAAACAAAATGTGAGGCTGAGGCGGGTCTGCCAGCTGGGTGTTAGACTTCAGCCAGGTTCACTGTGTTGAAATTCACTCTGGTTGTCCCTTTGCAGGTAATGAAATTTTCTTCCACTATGGTCATGGGCTCTGAGCAGCCCTTCAGCTGATTTCCCAGGTCTAAGTGTCTGCCCCTAATCTTCCCCAGAAGTCTGACTGTTAATGAACTCAGATGTCAGCAGACACCTTGTGTCTGACAAGACAAATGATAGATTCCAGTCTCAGTGCCTGTGAGAGGCAGCCTCACCTTGGGCCTGTGCATGTGGACTGTAATTGTCCAGTGGGAAGGGGAGGTCTGAAGGAGCTGGTCAGCTCAGAACGATGCAGCAGCCTAAAATAAGACATATGCAAGACAGGAGGATGCCCACAGGTGCAGTAGGGCTCCTTGGCATTGCAACAGTTCCTTCCTCAGCCTGCAGAAGGCCACCCGAGGGATTCTTAGGCCTGGGCAGACAGAACCAAGGTATGTCAGTAAATATGGCATCTTTCTGGACTTAACACCTCACTGTATACTGGGACGGTTTCTAGAAGGATTCTGTGGGAAGCAAGCACGGGCTTTGGTTCAGGCTGCGCCTCCAGTGGGCTGGGCGCCATCCTCATGTGGTGTGCCTGGGTCTGTCTTTCTCCCCAGAATGCACAGCCCCTCCTACTGCTCTCTGCTGCATCTCACCATTTCCTGGTCCTTCTTTCTGTCCTGAGCTCCCACTCACAAGGTACCAGTTGCCACGGGCACCCTCCACACACTCCATGCTGACTGCAGTTCATTGACGTGCCTTCAGTATTATTGGGATCCCTTCCCTAGAAGAGGTCTGGGTCACATGGAGCTGGGATGCACCGCCTGCCTTCCCATCCTCAGGCCCTGCTCTGCACCCTAGCTCTACCGTCTGCTAGGCTACTGGGGCCACCCACGTGGGTTCCATTCATTTCTGACCCTCCCCACCTTCTACTTGTCAACAACGACACTAACAAATTAGATCACACTAATTCACTGGTGAGGATTAAAGCCATAGACAGCACACATTATATTTGTGGTTAGGTCATGGCAGCTAACCCAGTGGATTTCAATCAGGAATTTGTTTGCTCCCAAGGAATACATGGCAAATACAGGGTGATCCAGCCCCAGTGCCAGAGTGCCAAGGTTGAATAACCCCACTTAACACGGTGACAGAGGCCAGATGGAAATGGGTGGAAATGGCAGAGGGTGGGGAAGTGGGGTCTGTGCAGCTGTCCTAATGTATAAATAGAGGTGAAGACTGCGGTGACCACATGTGAAAAGGAAACTTGATCCTCCAAAAGCCAAACGTAGATGGCAGACACCTGGGGCCATCTACAGCTGTGCGAGTGGACCGCTGGGCACAAACCAGAGATGTGGCATCTGCGGCATCAGAGTTGGTGGCCCTTTTAAGAGGAATTGAGAAACATAAAGTTTTGTGGACCAGGATATGGAGATGACGTCAAGGGGGGAGGAATGCACTGATTTGGGGTGGCTGCTGTGGGCAGGTCCTGGGAAAGCTGTTTTGAGGAAGCAGAACTGCGGGTAGGTTGTGTGTTCTGGGGGTACAGAGGCCTGGGACTGGAGAAGAGGCAGCAGGGAGTCAGATGCAAAGGCTTTTTATAGCAGAGGCACCTGAGGCTTGCTGGCATTGGTTCCCTCGCCTAAGAAGCTGTGAACCTGGGCAAGACCCAAGCTGCACTGATGCAGGGATAGCCAGGGCAGCTAGAAGATGGAGTTGGTGGTCTCCAGGGATCTGTGAATGCATAGCAACGGGACATGCAGCACTTTGACTGGGAAAGCAACATGGCAGTGTGGAAGCCCTCCCCACTCTGCACCCCCAAAACCCCATGCTTCCATTAGGCAGGTATTTTGTGGACATCTAGTAAACCTCATGAAAAGATTGTCAAAATTCGGGTAAGGTGCAGCCAGGTGGACAGAGGCAGCACCCTGAGATGGGACCGTCAGAATTCGCTCCCTAAGAGGACGATGGTGAGTTGAGACCACAGGCCAGAGAAGGTGGAATGCAACCAGGGGAAAATGTGGCAGCTGGGAACAGCACAGGCCCAGAACACGAGGATAACAAAGGGGCAGTGTGGCCAGACATGGACAGCAAAAGGACCAAACTGTGATAACACTCGTTCCTGTTCAGGGCCACAGCCAGAGCATTGTTAAGGGAAGTTCTGTCATCCTTACCAGGCCACCAGTGTGTGTAGGCTATGCAGCAATGGGCCGGATAGTTTTATTTATGTATCCCATATATGTGTGTGTGACATCATGCGTGTTTGCTTGTGTGTACAGTGTGTGTATATGATGTGTGGTGCATCTGGTATATGGTGAGTGTGTATGATGGGTGGTGTGGCTATTTGTGTGTGATGTGGTTCTGTGTGTGTGTGTGTGTGCACACGATCTATGTGGGGACAAGATATATACGTGGTGTATGTGTGATGTGCCGTGTGAGTGGGTTGTGTACGTGTGAGGAGGTGTGTGAGTATACCATGTGTCTGTATGCGTGGTGTGCCATGTGAGTGTGTCTGTGTGTGTGTGAGGAGGTGTGTGAGTAGATTGTGTGATTGTGTGTGTGCATGGTGTGTGTGTGGTGTGCCCTGTGAGTGGGTTGTGTGTGTGTGAGAAGGTGTGTGAGTAGACCGTGTGTCTGTGTGCGTGGTGTGTGTGTGATGTGCTGTGTGAGTGGGTTGCGTGCATGTGAGGAGGTGTGTGAGTAGACTGTGTGTCAATTATGTGTGGTGGGAAGAGCTGGGAAGCAGGAAGGGGTAGTGCTGTCTTCTGGATGAATGAGCAGCATCAGGGTCTTCTTTTCCAAGGACACCCAGCCCCTTTGGCTACAGTGCAAACTTCTTTGGATGCCTTTTGGATTGGTAAAATACTCCCTTGATAAACATGCGCCTAGACACCCGGCTTCTCTGGGGTCGCCTATGCCTTGTGGCAGGGTCTTTCTGTTGAAATCTTCTAGCTAGCCTGGGGACACATGTGCTGTCTCTGCAGGGGCCAGCGGTGGTGAGGCTGGCCGCTCAGCACATGTTGAGACGTCCTGTTCAGCCGTGTTCTATCAGTGGGAAATGTGGTGCTTCCACACCTCAGGGCACTCTGGGAGGACCTCACTTTCTGCACTCAGGAAGGAGCTGGATGGTTCCTGCACTCTAGGCTGAACGTGGGAAGGGCCGTGGCGACTGCAGACAGTTCCACAGAATCACAAGAAGGGCCCTGTGCCATCCGGTGGCCTTGCTGTGGGGCCCTCACCACACTCTCCTTTCTGTGCCTCCAGGGGTGCTGAAGGCCCGGCACAGGCATGGCCGGCAGCGCAGCGGACAGCGCCAGCCACCTGCCCTTCTTTTACGGCAACATCACCCGCGAGGAGGCAGAGGATTACCTGGTGCAGGAGGGCATGACCGACGGGCTGTACCTGCTGCGCCAGAGCCGCAATTACCTGGGCGGCTTTGCGCTGTCGGTGGCGCACGGGCGCAAGGCGCACCACTACACCATCGAGCGCGAGCTGAACGGCACCTACGCCATCGCAGGCGGCCGCGCCCACAACAGCCCCGCCGACCTCTGCCACTACCACTCTCTGGAGCCCGACGGCCTGGTCTGCCTGCTCAGCAAGCCCTGCAACCGGCCGCCCGGCGTGCAGCCCAAGACAGGGCCCTTCGAGGACCTGAAGGAAAACCTCATCAGGGAGTATGTGAAGCAAACGTGGAACCTACAGGTGGGCTCACCCGCCATGCCGCCTGCCCACAGTCCCTGGGTGCCCACTCTGGGCGCCCAAATGAGCACCCTGCTCTACTAGAGCGCCTTGCTCTACAGAACAGACCCCGCCTGCTGCACGCCTGCCTCCCTTCCTCCCTTCCTTTCACAGCACCGAGGCTTTTCACTGAGCCTGTTTTTATTTTTCATTTTGAGACGGGGGTTTTGCTAAATTGCCAAGGCAGACTCACAGTTTCAGCGCCCCTTTCTTAGCCTCTTACAGCACTGTCATCACAGGTGGCACCGCCATGCCCAGCAGTCTTTCCTGTCCCACGGCCACCGGCCACTGGCCACCGCGGGGAGGGGCCCTTCACACCCGTGATGTGGGTTTCTGCATCACAGAAAACCAGCTGCCCACTCCACTGGTCCCTGCTTGGTGTCTCCGGCTTTCATTTACCTTGAGCAGGGCCACACTGACCTCGCAGGCCTTCTTGGCACCCGCGTGTGGCCATGGCACTGTTCTTTGACAGCCTGGCATTTCCTGCTGCACCCCAGAATTTATTTAATCAGCACTGCCCATGGCCACTTCTATTGTTCAAAGACCATCCTGCCAGTGGCACACTCTGTGGTCCTCTACACTAAGGTTGTGGACCATGTCTGCAGGATGAATGCTGGGGGACTGTGTGCCATGCCAAGGATGTGTCTCATTTGGACGCAGGAGAGTGTCCATCCTGAAAGGTGACACCAGACACAGCAGTTTACATCCTGCTCGTGCTCTTCCCCGTGCTGACGACCACACGTGATGACCACTCACTGTCCCACTGAGCTACAGCCCGGCCACCAAAGTCTTCAGTGTGTGTGATTCAGGAGCCCACAGGTCTGGATGCCAGTCTCCTGCTTGGGCTCCTGGTGACTGGAGCTCCATCCCTCTGCCCGTGTCCTGCCCACTCTAGCCTCTGGAAGCCACGCATCCGAATTCCATCGCTACTGTCCACCTTTTCCAGAGTGTCACGTCAGAAGACAACACTAGTCTATCCAGAGCGGCTTCTTTTGTCCTGCGCTTTGCCTGTGTCGTCGCCTGTGTCCATGGTGGTGCTGGCTGACGTCTGAGTGGATTCTGCATCCCTCTGCCTTGGCTCTGCTCACCTTGCTCCGGGTGCTTCTGTCGCTGCCTGCATTGTCGCTGCCTGCGTCCGTGAGATGGGATCAAAGCCCCAAGCTTCCGTTTCTAGCTGTCTCCCCTCTGCCTGCCAGATGTCTGGGGTGGTTCTGTTTCCACTGTTACTGCTTTGGGATTTCTTTATAAATGTAAATCATCAAACTACGGCCTTTCATGAATCACCTTCAGAAAGACCTACCTCTCTCCCGTTAAGAAAGTGAGGGAGTCAGTTCGCTTAGCGCTCTCCCAGCTTTGGCTTCTGTGTTGTCATGTTCTTGTGGTCCTCACCTGCACAGGGGTCAGGCTGTGCGTGCCCCACAAACTGCACACTTCCTGATGGCCAGTGACTGATGAGTGAGAGTAGCCTGGACGTGACTTGTTTCTCCGACTTTCCCATCTCTCCCTCCTCATGGCAGGGCCAGGCTTTGGAGCAGGCCATCATCAGTCAGAAACCACAGCTGGAGAAGCTGATTGCCACCACAGCGCACGAGAAGATGCCCTGGTTCCACGGAAATATCTCCCGGGGCGAGTCTGAGCAGATCGTCCTCATCGGATCTAAGACAGATGGCAAGTTCCTGTGAGTACCCTGTCTCTCCCTTTGTCTCCTGCCACCAGGCAGCTGGCACAACGAGGGGTAATGCAATGTCCCTGGAAGTAGACACCACCCACTCCCGTGTAGGTGCCACCCAGCACTGTGACAGGCACCTGCTGGTCTGTCCTAGGGGTGCTCTGAAATAGAGGGGGCACTTGCGACCCAGTCTGTTTTGCCCAGTTTGATCCTAAAGTGAATGTCCTCATTGGGTACTGCGGGGATTGCACATTTAGAGAGGACGGGATTTACACAGATGAGTATTCCTTTTCCACAACGCTTAGCAGCAGAAGTGCCCTGCACTTGGGTTTTTGTCTAATTTTAGAATGTTTTCACATAGCCAATGATATTTCTTGGGGGTAGGGCCCAAATCTGCACTCTGCATTTACCTAGGCACCTTCTGCACATGGCTCAAGGTGGTTTCATGCCCTGATTTTATCCCACCTGTGCTTTGACCATCGCATAAATCAGGTGGGGACTTCCCACTTGTGATAGCAGTACTGATGCTCAAAGTGCCAGGTTTTGGAGCATTTCAGAGTTCAGGTTAGAGACGCTCAACCTGAATCCTTCTTTTCAGGGCAAATGTGTGACACAGACCAGCTGGTGCTCTGACAAAAATGTGAGCACCACAACTTGCTCACTCCAGCGTCCCCCAAGTCTCATGTAATTTCTGGTTTTCCTTGGGCAGATAGTTAAAAAAAATATCCAGGCCTAGCTTACACACATGGCCAGAAGCTGCTTGATAGAGCAGGTCGTGGTCTTTGGCCTTGAGGGTGAGTTCTGGTTTCTGACCCTCGTCCTGAGGAAGCTGATGTGAGCCTAGGTGTCAGGAGGCTCCAGGGAGGTGTGAGCCAGCTGGGCCAGAACCCAGAACTGATCAGGTGCCTCTGCTGTAGGCGAAGCTCCTTCCCCAGCACAAGGCCGCAATGACTTAGTGGCGCTGCCAGCAGGGGACACACTTGCCCACCTTTGTCTCCACGCAGTGCCCCTTCAGAGATGCTCCCTGGGCCCCTGGGGATGCTCCACTGGTGCACCCCTGCCGCTGGACTTCCCTGGAAATAGGGTGCAGCTGGTTGGGCACACAGGTTAACACCCAGCCGATGCCAGGGGCTTTTCCTAGAGAAGGGGTATGTTCCGAGTAACCAGGTGCTGAGTGAATTTTCCTCATTGTTCTGATTCAAGCAACATTCTTAAACATAATCCTAAAGGAAAAGCCAAAGAAGTGGCCCAGCCTGGCATGCAGTGAGGCAGCCCCAGGTGCTGGCAGTGATGCTGGGTGGGGGCAGGGTGCTGTCTCTTGGTGCATACACAGCGGCTCAACTCCTCCGAGGCTAGGCATCTTCCACCCTTTCTGGCACGCATGTCCTGGGCTGCAGATGGGCGTCTCCATGCGTCAGGAGCTGGAACCCGAATGCGGGAGCAACCCACAGACTTCTCTCTGCACCCAATACCTCTCAGGCTGCCAGGAGCAGCTGGGGGGGGAGGGAGGGGCTGAGGGTACCCTCTGTGATCACTGTCCCCTCGGAGATGGGGATGTGTTTAACTCCAGAGGCTTCGAGTGCCAGCCTCTGTGTCTTCTCAGGCCCCCTCAGGGTGCACCCAGCACCAGCTCAAGGCTCAGGGCACCTGTGGGCAGGTAATTCTCAGTGCCCTGTACTCGCATTGGCCACAGCATGAGCTCAGATGCACTGCGCTCCCCTGGCCTGGGCACACGGATTTTCGCCAAGTCCCCTAGTCGAGCTCCTCCACTGGGTTCTTGTCCCACCTAGCGTTGCAGCTGCCCATGGACACTATGTGGCACCAGCCTCTGTGTGCTCTTGCACTTGGCTTTCTCCCGGTGTCACCGCACCCCTGCCCCATCTCCTTCTCAGCTTCTGCCGCAGCCACATGGCTTATCCTGGGGTGGATATGTAGGTGGTAGCTGAAGCTCAGCTGTAGCCTTCCCTGGTTACACACACACACACACACACACACACACACACACACACACAACCCATATGACTTGGGCTAAGAATCATCTTTTCTGAGATTTGGTTCTCTGGAGTGAGTGACACTCCCTCCTGCGGCCTTTGAAGACTGGGTGGAATGCTCGCCAGGCTCGCAGCATGGTATGTGTGCTTCAGTGCCAGTCTGAGCTTTCCTTTCTCTGCTACTATATCTTCTTTCTCCATCATCAGCACCTGGAAATTCTTGTCCCAGGATCTCCTGCATAGTTACTAGTGCTCATGAGCACTTCTGTCACGGGCTGCTGAGCTGGAAGGATCCTGTGGCTGTGCATGTGGTATGAGTGAGTCTGTCCTGCGTCCTGGCAGGTACTGCGTGTCCATGGTGGAGAGGAGCCAGGTTGCAGGAGACCCTGTGCTTGGTTTGGAATAATTCCAGTCCGGCCTGCTCATGGGTCATTTCGTACCATGCTCCAACTTCTAGCGAATGCCACAATTCCTGTCAGCGCTGACTCCAGCATGGGTTTCCACAGCTGCTGGGTATCCTCACTTATCAAAGCAGGGGTCACCAAAGGCCACTCATCCCGGGAGAGTGAGGGCTCCGCAGCCATCAGTTTCTTCCCGTTTTGTTCACATCTTCTGCAGCCTCCTCTGAATAGGATGTCTTGGGACTTTCCTAGGACTTTACCCATTCACCCTGCTGTGACCTGGGATAGCTGGGTCAGTAGTTACCCAAGGTGCTAAAAGCTGGGCCACCTTCATGGGCCCTGGGACTGGAGACGTTAGACCTGTGATTATCTGCATGCATGGAGCTGGCATCTTAGTGAGGAAAGGGGACGCCAAGCAGTTAGAACTACAGGGCTGGGTGCCCTGGTGGCCACAGGGAAGCTGAATAGGAGAACTGTACATCTGAGGCCAGCAGGGCAATTTGGGGGACACTACATCAAAAGAAAGAGACAACTTTGAAGGGATAGGGGATGGGGCTCAGAGGCAGTGCCCCCTAGTTTCCATCCCCAGTACCACAAAAATAAGTTCTAAAAAAATAAAAAACACTGTGTAGTTCAGCCTTTGCTCCATACCTCTGGGGATGACGCTCCAGGACCCCGAAAATCAACAGTGCCGGAGTCCCTTGTGTTAGATGTGTGGCGTTTGCACAGAGCCCACACACAGCTACTTCAATACTTTCCTCACTCCCGGATTATTTATCGTACCTGAGCGATCTGTGCTGCGGAAGTTGCCATATTGTGTGGTCTAGGGAGTAAAGACAAGAGAAAAGTCTGCTCGTGTTGGGTGCAGACACAGGTATTTTCCCAACTGTTTCACTTGCGGTTGGACACAGAACTCCTATTAAGAGAGGACTGGCTGCACAGAAGGCTTGTGGGGCTGAGGCAGGGCTGGGGTCCCGCTCTGGGCAGCACTCAGGAAGGTTCTTCCCAAGCAGGAACAGCACCCCGGAGCCCTGCAGTGTCCCCCCACCACCACCACCACAGGAGGCCGTCACCACTGCGCAGGGCGAGATGAGGCAGGACACAGAGGACTCCACCTCGGAAGGTCGGCTCCCTGTGGGAAGGGTAGGGTGTGCACAGGCAGATGGATCCTGGGCCAGCAGGGAGCTGTACAACCACAGGGTGTGGCTTGCTTTGGAGGCATTTCAGGCCTTTGCATTCCTGTACCCAAGCTCAGGCATTGCATTTCATGTAGGTCAGGAGACAGCTCGGCCTGTGCTGCAGAGGCCACAGGACAAGGGCAGATGTCCCTGCTTCTCCACCATGCCCTGCATCAGCCCCAGGCAGACCCTACCTCCTCCTAGCCCTGGTCCTCAGCGCAGTGGTGACAGGGCTCTGTGGCATTTCTGCACACGCCCTTTTCCTCTGGCAAGCTGCTGTGGGGAGCATGACTCAGCTCTGTCCTCTTGTTTGGGACGCACAGCAACAAGGTGGAAGGCAAGGGCCTGGGCTGGACTCCGGCTGCTGTACTCTGGGCGTGACGGCCTCTGGGTTTGCCTCTGCTCTTGTGCTTGGGAGGCCCAGTGATTCCCCTGGTATAGCGGTCCATCCGTGGATTGGCGGTCTGTAGAGTGGCTCTTCCATTCCTGCGGCTGGAAGGCCATGGTGGCTGACTGTGTGCAGAGTCAAGAGCTGGGTGGTGGAGAGGGATAGGGAAGCACAGTTGTCTCTGAATCCAGGGCTCCACCTCCATTTGTGATCAGAGCACCTTTGCAGACCTGCACTGGCACTGAACCTGTGGGGACTTTGGAGGTCGTTATCGCCCTGTGTAATTCAGTCCAGCCTCTCTTTACCCAGCACTTCACTCTCTTAGGTTATAAGAAATCTAGACACGTTTTAAAGTGTTTGGGGAGGTGTGTACAAGTTCTGTGTATCTATTATACCAGTTTGTGAGAGTCTTGCACATCTGAGGGTCTGAAGATCCTAGGGTCTGGGGTGGACCCCTGTGGGTGCCCACCTGTGGAACTGCAGAGGAGGTGCCAAACCCAAGATAAGAGAAACATTTTCCCTGAGCCAAGTTGCAAAAAGGACACAGCTGGAGAGCAAAAGCTGTCAGCAGACCTTTCTCTGCTTGATTTCCTGTCCAGAGCTGGGGCACCGCTCTTCCCCTGCCTGTGTGGGTCTACACCCAGCACTTCTGCTCTTGGTGAGGCGCCAGCCTGGTCTCTGCAGTGCTCCAGCCACCCTACGGTGGGTTTGCAGCCAAGAGGACCCTGCCTGAGCCCCCCAGTCCATCCTCCTCCAGTCTTCTGTTATGAGGAACCTCAGGGCTCTCTGACCTGGAAATAGAACATAGTTTTTGTGATTCTTAACACAGAGGGTAGTTTAAAATGAGTTGATGTGTGTGCACGTGTGAGGCATAAAACCAGGCTCTGTAGGTGCTTCATGAGCAAGGCCTGAACAAGACCCATTAGTGAGCGCAGGGAGCAGAGTCTCAGAGACACCAGCACGGTGCTGTCCAGGCCTTCCAGGTGTTCCCTGCCTGCAGAGGTGTGGGTGGTCCATGTGAAGACAGACTTCACCCACTGGGTCTGCTCTG